ACGTAATCCAAAATTTTTTTTTTTCACTTTGTAACCACACATTTTCCTAAAAATCAATATTCAAAACATCAAGTTTTCCCTTTTGAGCTCGATGGCCATTCAACTAATATATACGCAAGTGACATGATTTAAGAGTCAACATATTCGTATTTAGAATCTAAAAGATATTGTACTATTCACAATACGAAGGAAAAAGCTACCTACCTTGTCGTATGATGCGACTTTTGAAAAATCAGAACATAATCATCATCAATATTTACAAAATGATATACTGAGAAAGAACGTTGCTTGTAGCTTAGAATGAAAACTAAAAAACTATCACAAAAACAGAAGAGGGTACATAATAAAAAATATATCAAAATATGTCGAGGTAGTGATAAAACAACTATAAGCGTTTTTTCTTTCCGACTAAACTTTAGATACTCATTTCAGAATATAAATTTCTTGCGAGATTATTAGCCAGTTGAAGCTTGGGGGGTTGAGTCACTTAAATCTAGAGAAAATCATCACATTTTCGAGATAGTAACTTCCATTGACGAAATTATATCCAAACTTGAGCAAAAAAGAAAAGTCCGTTATGAAATTAAACACCTTGGGTGAGAGATTTGACCGATTTTGGGTGGCATCATTTATGAGGAGTTCGAAAAATTTGTGTTTGCTAATTTTTTTTAGGTACTGATTTTGGATGGTTTAAAAACCACCCAAAATTGGTGTAGTATAATTTTGAGAGGTTCTTTCAACCCACCAAATTGGCAGATTTTGATCGTTTCTCATATTCTCTTCTAATTTATCTTTTATAAAATAATTATTTAAAACCAACCTATTTTGATCAAAACTAAATTATAAATTTAAATATATTAGCTAAAAAATATTTATAATTTTAAAAATTATATTAAAATAAAAAAATACTTATAAGTAAAATAATACTTATAAGATAAGAAAAATTACACTATTATTAAAAATTATTTACAAGTAAAAAAATCACTTCTATGTAAAAATTATTATAAAATAAAAATACTACTAATAAGAAAAAAAAATTACTTATAAAATGTAAAAATCACTTATAAGTAAAAAAAAGTCACTTAAAGTTATTTAAAAGTATAAAATTAACTTATAATTGTAAATTTACTTATAAGTAAAATTATCAAATTAAAAATTTAAGTAAACGTTTAAATTTATTTTATTTTTAAATTAAATATTAACTTATATGTAAAAAAAATCTATAAGTAAAATTTCACTTATGAGTAAAAAAATTTATAAAAAAGAAAATTTTACGAAGGGATATATACGTAATATTATTCTTTTAAAAAACTTTCAGAATCGGTGGATAATAAATTCTCAAGCATAAGTTGGACAATTTTAAAAATCGCTACTAAAATCACTCAAAATCGATCCGTTTGTAAACTCTTAAAACTAATACTTTAAAAAAACGCTCATAACCGATACGGCGAAACTCCCAAACAGGCCCCTTAAGAACAAGTTTAGGAGTTTGTATCATATGGAAAGAAAGGAAATATTTGATCATCGAGGATTGGGAAGTAACTAACACAGAAGTTCATGATGATTAGATTGACCATACACACACGTCGATCTAACATGGGTTAAGTGAAAATTTTGATTGTAGTAGCATTAATTATAAACTTTTTATGAATTGTCAAGCAATTTTAATACTTGATGTGAGTTTGGAAAAATTATCGAAGTGTGTGTTTGTCTCCCATTATTGTAGAAGAAATTGAGTAATAAATAGTATTTTTTGGAGAATGTGTGGTTGAAATTTAAAATAACTTTATTGATTTGTGCGTTGAATATTTTATTGGGTGAATGTGTGGTGGAGTATCTTACTGTAGCAAGTAATGTTTTGGAATAATTTTGATTGTTATATTTGTTTGCTTGTATGTTTTAGTAGATAGCATTGCTCGAAACGACAAGATTTTAAGTTTGGAGGTATGATGAGTGTATTTTATATACTTATTTAAGTTTCTAAACTTGTTTATTTATTACTAAATTGAGCTAATATTTACCTAATTTGGTGTTAATTAAAGTTAACTGTAGGTAAAACCCCAACTTTAAATACAATTGACGTGAAAATAGCATTTTTGAAGTTTGATTCGTTGATTAGAAGCAAATTAAAGATTAACAAGAGTTCACATGATAATTAAAAGAATTAATAGATGATTGAATTGCAAAATTTTAGAACTTGCTTCAGATCAATTATAGATGGAAAAATGTTTGTTGTACATCATCATTTACATAATATTTTACACATTAATTAGGTATCAAAAGAAAGTGGCGAACTTTTTTTTTTTATTGATGAGATTTTGATCCATTCAAATCTCGCTACATATGTTGGTAAATAAATTTATAAGTTGTAATGTACATGTAGCACAACTGGTATAGATGATAATGAATGATGATGATTGAATTATAAAGATTTAAAGATGGAGGACCCAATGTGCAAATAAGAAGGGGCTCGTACTGAACCAAAAGAGAAATTTAGGGACCAAATTGATGGAAGGTTAAGAGTGGATTGTGGATGCAAGCCCACCCATCTACGACCGCAACATATGAAATATGTTCAACATCGAGCAAAAATGCTTAATTTTGCGATCTCAACATGTTACTCTATGAGATCACATGGTTATCTATGGGCAGATCTATTTTTTCTTTTCTCGTTCAACTCAAGTTCTATTATTTTGACCTAATTTTCTGGATCCATAAATACACGCGTTCATCGAACAATACAACTGCAGTCACATACCTTTCATCTTTTTGCAAATTTTACACAAACATTTCATTTGTACCATCCACAATATCAAACCTTTCATTTAGTTGCAGCAAAATGACAAACGAATAGAATTCCATCTATTTGACCTTAAATTGACTAGAAAAATTGTTTTGGCCCAAATATAAAGAGGGCAAAATTGTAACTTTACAATTTTAACATAAAATAATTAAAAAATTCAATTAAAAAAAGGGGGACCCGTCATCATCGCTTGCAGTGAAGAACTTTCTTGGGGCCGTTGAAGTTGCCCACAGTGAAGAATTTTTCACCTAAACTAGTGCTCTCGTGTCATTGGCTAGATAGCATTATTCAATTTTCAAGGTGCTGGTTTTATTCAAAGAGAAATATAGTGAATAAAGTTGTCCATAAAATTGTCACTCATGCAACTTTTAATATATCAATGGCTAATTTTATTGTTTTTAATGGTTACACCATCTATTATGATTAAGGTTCTCAAACTTTGCTCATTATAGACATTATAACTCTTTTCTCGATGCATTTTTATCAACAATCTTCTATTAATTAGTATATCTTGTCTTGAATAATTGTTTCCAGCCAAAAGTCCGTTGAAATGATGTAAAACTACTTATATTCCAATAATATTTTAAAATAAAAATGCAATAACTTTTTTCCCCCATTTCAAACCACACAAGAACAGAATATTTTGATAGAAACCATCTTCATGACTCTGGTAATTACTTGTAGGTAAAAGATACGAGATGAATAAACTAACAAATTAAACTGAGTATGACAATACCAAAACTTACAGAAAGTCTCGCATGCTTGCGTAGAATGAAAATTGTCCTCATTTCTGTAACGTGCAGTTGATGCAAATCAATGATCAGGTAAGTCTCACTCTTTTAGAATGTGACGCAGTTTACTCAATTGGAATTAAAAATTATCTAGTGAAAGAAAATATTATGTCAGTTGAAAAATAACCACAATAAAAGGGAGTCCAAACCCAAAAAACACATCGCATAAATTTGAAGGCACAAAAATACAAGTATATAATTATTTTGCATGTTACACAGTTTCTCAACAGCAATTATACAACAGTGATACTAGGATATTTTCTGCTCCTGTATCTGGTGTAATAATTTTGTAGGCTAAGGTAAAAGAGAATGCAAAATGCCTCCTACACAAAATTGAAAAGAAAAACTACAAAAACCAGAAAACACAATAGCAATGATTAAGAAAACATTATGTACCATGGTGCCCCTATTGAGAGACTTCACTCGCAATGAGATGTCCATTTATCTGCTTTTTAATCTACTGTCCTGAATTTCAAAATCCTTCGGCCGAGCTTGCTCTCATTAAGAAGCGACTGAATAACTATTCTGAGCTTCAACTGCAGAATTCTGCCCTCGGGAACAACAGAATGAAAATCTTCTCTTGATCAAAGACTCCATTAACACTCCTCAGCCGCAACAGCCAATATACTGCCTTCTTCTAGGAAAAAGATCACCAAGAATCATCAAGAATTCTAAGATTTGTGAAAACTTGCACTGAATACCAAGAGATATGTATAAATCTTTTCACACTGTAAGAAAATTACAGAGCAATAAATCAAGCAATTTTGATCCAAAAGCTACCCAAGGGAAGAGGAATATTCTTGAAAGAATGCTTAAAAGTACAGATGAAAAAATATAGCACATTGCAAATAGTTATTTACCAAGATGTGCTATTAAATGATAATGGACATCATAATTCCCAATTGGAAAGTCTTTTCCTCAAGGCCAATATTTTGAAAATATGGTAGTTTTATGGAAAGAGTAGATTTGAACGCAGCACACCAGTACCTGAAGAAGGCTCAATAGCCATTTCAGCATATAGAAGCTCAATGATAGTTTGCGCTTTGGCAATTGTCTACACAAAAGTGCCTACTCATAATCTTCAAATGAATGCAAAGCTTTATTTTTACATCTGTATAAGGGATTTGTCATCATTTATACCAATAGATGAAACTGTCTCTTAATGTAATCATAACTGTGGCATAACAGAGGCTATTAAAGAATAAACAATGGCAGACAAAGTATGTGGCCAAGTTTAATGTACAAGCACCTTGTTCTCTTGATTTCAATTGGCTGCATGGAGCTACAGCTGTTCGCCGAAGCCTCGTTAAGCATCTTGTACCAGAATACATTGATCATCAGGAGCACGAAGCAATAAATTTCTCCAAATGAACGAAACAAATCAAGCACAACATGGAGCTTCCAAATTATTCATTTGACAGCTGAAGCAAGCCACGAATCTGAAGGTAGGGATTCTCCAAAAGCTTTTCGTTGTTGCTCTGTAAAGACATGCATAAACAACCTTAAGTACATGTTTGAAATCTTGATGATTGTGCAAAGAAAGGGTTTCATGATACTACAAATGCTTTAGAGAGGATCCACCAAGATGGTCTCCTTGCCATAAACAAATAAGGGATGCTGATAGATCAAACGAGTGATGAAATAGTTTCATAAACGATAAAACAAAAAATTATCTCGTTCATTGCTCTTCTTGTGTGTGGATTCTTGTATTTGCAATTGACAAGACTAAAAGGTGATATTACAGTCGGTTCCATTTACTTCCAAGAAACTGATGACATTTTCAAAAAACAAATGTTTTCTTATGCATATATCTTATTTTATTTTTTCTTGAATATTTCTACCCAAATATACGAAGCTGATAGATAAAGATTATGCTCCACCAACTTGTAGACAACATTGCTTGTGCATTCAAGGAAGTGAAGAAAATGAAGCAAAAAAGGAGACCATTTTGATTGCTGCTTAAGAAATCAGGTTCATATCTTCAAGTAACCAGGCATGGCCGAGTGTTGTAATAACTCGACTTTGGCAAGCTAATGCCATCACTAAGAGCTGGACGAGTTCTATATCAGGTCAATAGAAATCTGATAATCTGTGTCAACTTGGCAGAGTCAAGTTGCAAAAATGGTAGGACCCAATGATAATGGCAACAGAAAATGCAAAATCCCTGATGTGATCAATATCATTTATCCCATCTTAAGACTCAGCTAACTCACCAAGTCAGAGGACAAATGATGCAGTATAGACTTTGAATTTCCTATTCAGGATGTTCTACTTTTCATTTTGTTTAATCTGTATCGCCGTTGGATTTACAGAATAAAACTATCTAGTACTAGCCACAAATGTTGAATCTACACTCAAGTAACAATCTAGGATACACCGACGCCCTCCCAACGACAATAAATACGTGCCACGAGTCAGAAACACCAGGTGTCATGTCAAATTAATTATTTGGTTTTGTGCAGTTGGACACACTGCCTATACATTGCTGACACACTGGGAGATAAATCATATCGTTCATCGACACAGTAGAAATGTTGGGTGACTTGTCCAAATTATTTTTGGATTTTGTATGGTAGGACAATTGCTGACACAGTGACACATTGGAGATACATTTGTGTCAAACACCAACTCATCGACAACAGTGTCGGAAAACATAAATGATGTGTCCAAATTTTTATTTTGTAAAGTTGGACACATTATTGACAAATTGCCAACACAATGGGATATACATTGTGTCGGACACCGACAAATCGCCACTGTGGTATGTTCAAATTATTTTTTTGGTTTTGTACAGTTGGCACTTTGTTAATGTATCGCCGATAAGCTGAGAGATACATTATTGACGTGCCAAATTAACAAAAACAAATTTACTTTACAATATAAAAAAAAATGAAAAAATAAAAAATAATATTATTTTAGTTAAAATGTTGAGTCGGTACTTTTTCGAAAAAATTGCGTGTCGGCATGTTTGTGTCGGTGCTTCCTATTTAACAATGGTTTTCCAAAATTTCCATGTATCTCTTCAACAAAATGAAATATCAATAAGAAACCACCTGCTGAGCTCTTGAAACAAGACTATGAAGCATCCATTGGTAATTTTCTGGTTCCTCTGTCATCATTCTCTGCCAAATTTAAACCTCAAATCAAATCAATATTGCGTGCAATAACTTGAACATTTCACACCTTGAGGTAAGCAATAGAGATCAAACACTTGCCTTCAAAAGAAAGGTAGAAGAGTAATATGCCACTCTTGCGTCTGTATCGTCCAATAACTCCCTATCAAATATCCATTGATGTAAAATTCCTTCATTAACATATATAAACAGGAACATGACGTTCACATAAACAGGGTTCATAACTACAAAGTTACCTGAAGAACTCTTCTGCACCAACCTCTGTAAAAGTAGCAGGGTCTGCTGTACATTTACCAATTAAAAGTAAGAGAAGGGTAGCCCGTATGTCTGACGTGGCACCTGGTATATTCCCTCTTCCTTTGCTACCAACAGAGACGCCCAATGCAATATTGTCTGTTGCAGCTCCCGCAAGTTGGATCAGAGGCCAATAAAATAAAGCAGCAGGAATGCGTGCAACCAATTGCATCGGTACAATTGCTTGTCCATGAAGCAGCAGTGCTGCCACGGACGCAGTACCACAGATTTGAGGATTTACATTTTTGCCAAGTTTGCTGTCAGAATTCCCGGTGGGTTCTTCCCGGCCAAGGTTCTTTTTTTGAGAGAGAGATTCCACTCCATCCGCCTTATTCCATTTTGAACTATAAGAATCTTTAATCTCTGTGTCTCCAAACAGCATCGCGGTTGTAGGGACTACTTTCAAGCACAATTGTGAAAATAGAATATCACACATCTGCTCAAATACATCAAGAAAGATAATTATAAAAGAGATAAAAATATGATTCAGACATACGTGCATGCATGCATGCCGCACACATACATATAAAATCAAATGTTAGAATATAAGATAATTGAGCAAATAAATGAAAATATATATTGGCTTGCAACTGCTCTCTCTCTCTCTCTCTTAAGAGTTGAGAGCACTGCATGAGTTTTTACAGGTGATTTTCCTTCCTGAAGTTTTGATGAGACCATGAAAAATTGAGACTTCAACAACTAATTCACAAAATAGCAGTTCAAGATAGCAATGGACAGATGTGCCACTATGAAGGCATTAACAATTCGGTGCAGGTTAACAGCCATCCACCCACCCAAGAATATTCGGGCAATCAACTAAAAACCTTTAATTGTATTTTTTTTCAGGAAAAGAGGTATTTATAAGTATATTTTGAACTTCCAAACAGTCAATGCAGAGATCATGAACAACAGATGCAGATGAATTTTAACTTTATCCCAATAATGTTAAAGCGTCATTGGGCCAAAATAGATAGCATTCAAATGGCAGTTTCAGCTGTGAAAAGGATGGTAACTCTGAAACTGTTCCAGACTGTTACAACAGTTTCGAGATGAATCAGATTAACAATATTACCTTCAAAATATTCATACGATCAGTCTCATTTATTTGGGCCATCAAGGATAAGGCACTGCTCATGATGTCTATCACAGCATTCGCTTTTTCAAGACGATTCTTGGCATGCATGAGGCCGGCAGCTTCGCTTCTGATTATATGTTGAACTTCACTCTCATCTAACAGAAATTTGCATCGCATGAGCAGTCTCTCTAGAACAAATAGAAAGCCCCATCTGCTAAGATTGTTTCTTGACTTCAGAAGCCCACACATAAGCCAAACGGGTAAAGGAACGCCTAAAGAAGCTGAATAATCATTAACACCAGCAAGATTGATTTTTCGCTCCAAGGTTTTTATGCTCGACAAAAGGCTCTCGTCCCCTTCATCACTTATTTCTGCAATAAGTAAATCTCCTAACCACAGATACCCATTGTGACGACAAGCAGATCGTTCAGAATGAAGAAGAGAATGTAAGGTGGCCCAAGAGAGCTTTGCTTTAATGCCAATACTGTTTTTGAGAACTTCATCAATGCTTTCCAAAGACTTGTATGATTTGGTTATTTGAACCATTTGGGTAAATTCTCTGTCTAGATGAGTAAATGATCTAATGAGCATATCAAACTTCACTACTATACTCTCCAAGAGCTGCAAGAGAAAACACAAATCAAATACAATTAAAGGTTGTGTAATTCCTCTTTTGTAAGAATACACATCTACAAACATGCATATCTGTGTGCACGCAAGAAAGAGAGTTAGAAAAACTCAAGCCAAAGAAATCCACCTTTAAAAGATAGTTCTAGAAAGAAAATAAAGATGTGAAATTTAACTATAAATGTCATTCCTAGGTTTAAAGAAGCAGCAGCAAAAGTGAAAAAACAAGGAAACAAAAGCAGACAGATGGCAAACAAAATTGAGCTGTTACATGTTTAGTTGCATCGACTTGTAATTGCCTACACTCCACTAATAAAGATGGATACAGCATAAGAGGTTAATAAATCAACATGAAATGCAGAACAAGGTCTATATTCAGACATAAAGAACACATCAAGGTCAAATGACATGGTTAACCAAAAGGCCGATACGTGGCCTCCTGTAGAAACAAGAACCTAAACATATAGAAGACAAGCAACGAAATATGTTGAGTGTGTGCAAGATTACTTTCATTCAAGTCCTGTGTTAAGAAATCAACCGATTCTAGGTACAGATATCAAATTGAAGTTATTCTATATTTTCCTTATGGTCTTCTACCCCTCTTACCCATAGTAAATGCATGGGTTCATTCAAGTCCTATGTTATGAAACCAACCGATTCTAGGTACAGATTTCAAATTTAAGTTACTCTATATTTTCCTTACGGTCTTCTACCCCTCTTACCCATAGTAAATGCATAGGCATGCTACTAGAATAGAAATCCTGAAAGTGAACACCACAAGCATTAGAATCCCTGTCTGAAAAACAGAGAATATTATGAAGATATTGACACTAGAACAGAAATGCATACCACTGTTTAGTGTACGGATATATGTAATCAATGATGAATTAGGATATCTCACTAGTCATTGCTCACAAGCTAAAAAGAAATATTAAGCTCTTGTTAATGCAGATGAAAATGTTAAAACGTGGAACATTACCATAATAAGCCGATCATTATTAGGATATCTGGACAATGCTGTAGAAATTGATCTTCTCAATAGCTCCACAACGCCTTCAACTCCTAACTTGACAGATATATGCAGAGCTTCAGGTGCATCTGCAAGCATGAGCAAGGTAGCAATAGGTTGAACCTCATCATCACTGTACTCGGACACTCCAGAAGCTATACATGTCTCATTTATCTTATGCAATACATAATCAAAAAGCACCAGATATAGATTTCTCCGCTCTTCTCTTGAGTTTGAAAGCACCAACTGCATTTATAAAATCATATCTGTAAATTCAGAAATATATACAGATGTGCTTTTATCTAATTGCTATAAAATGAAATTTTGTTGCATTAGAAAAACTCAAAATGATTGAGAAAAAATCAAAACTAATAGATGAAAAAGGAACAAAAAGAAAAAAATAAAACAAACATGGAGGAAGGAAATCAGCAAGCTCAATTTGAGGAAAGTACCAGACTTTTGAATTAAGACCATAATTGAGTCTGAAAACAAAATATAATGTGTACGTGATCATTTAGATCACAAAACAATGTTATCATTCACCAAAGAACATTTTCATGTTTTGGGGTCACTGCAACTAGTCTGCAGAAAAGCAAATTCATACGCAAGAAAGTAACATTTCCGTCAACAAAAACTCCATTGAAGATGAAAAATAAATGGAGCCCACCAACTTCAAAAACACAAAGTAATAACTGAACCACCACAGCAACTCTGCCCAATGCTTTAGAAGCAGTAGGTTTGATAATAAGATTATAATTATAAAATATATTGATAGCATCAAGTGCAATTGTACTGCATCAGCGATGCAAAGGCTTTTAGACTAAAATAGTATGACGTGTAAATAAAAAGAATATAGGCATCTGAAGCCAACTTCCCATTCTTTGTCATCTATTAAATGCTTATGGTTTGCGGTAGTTAAATTCAGGGCATTATTTTTTACAATGTTAATATAAATGCATTACTGAGTAAAGAGGGCATTCAGTGAATCTTCCATTTGGGGTTTTGTAAGTGAAAGCGGATTTTTATCTCTTTTCCATAACTGATCTATATAGATAAAAGAAATTCACTATTACGTATTGTCATCAGTTTTTTGTTCCATCTACAGATCCGAGAGCCTCCACCTACACTCTAAATATTAACTAGCTTCAGTTCAGAGCTACTGATCAACTTCAACACCCTCATTATAATTATACAAATTTTTCATTGTATAAAACTGTAGCAGTTTTAAAATATCTTTAGGGAGAGAGACATGGAGAAGAGGAAAGGCCTCAAGAGAGAACACACAAGAAAAGAAAGAAGAGTTAAGAGAAATAAACAAATTATATTCCTCCTATCATCCTACCACACAATCTGTATAAATGGACTGATACGGTCTAAAATTATGAAGAAAAAAAAATAAAGAAAGAAAGAATCAGAAGAGAAAACTCAACAGTAGCTGGATGAAAAAGATCATTCTAGTCCATGTCTACTTCTACTTAAGTTCTATGTCGTTCAACCACATCTTCTAAAAGTTTAAGCATTTAGAGATGTGATAAATTTATTTATTTAATTAAACTTTATCTTCAACACTTCCAAATTCCATGATTTACACGTGCACAGTTTCCTTAACCGGTGGGTGGCGAGAATTGAGATCAGCTTTGCCTGAGTCATTTCTAAAGAAGAGAACCAACTCCCATACTAGCTTCTGGAGAAATTGTCGTGCTCTCCTACAATTGATACAAGCACATTTGGATGAACTAACCCTTAAAACTGGCTTGTAAGGACAGGGTGCCCGATTAACTTATAACCTCACAAGCCAAGTTTAATTATTGACGACGCATGGAGTTATTACAATCCACCTTTCTTTTTCGGAATTGACATCCATGAGACATTTCTAGCTGGTGACTTTACGAAACAAGTAGTAGACCCTAATAAATAATTGGGTTCGGGAGGTAATTTGTTTAGGATTTGATATGTAAGGTGCCCATGCTTTTTAAGGCCAAGAAGAGGTGCCAATACTTAGAAAGCCAGTCTTCTTCGAGAATAAGAACCCACCAATCAAAGGTTGCCCCATCCACAGCGAGGGCCATCCTCAAAAGGATGCCTTTCAATGTTGAACTAGCTCATACAAAATATTAAGGGCCCATTTGGTTTGTGTTTCAATTTTGGGTTTTGAATTCATTTTCAATTTTTTTTTTTGAGGGTTTGTTTTAAGATTGCTAAAAAGGCGTTGGGTTTGCTATTTTGAAATGTTTTTGTTAGAATTTATATTTAAATTTTTAAATTTTTATTGAAATGCTTGTTTTTCACGTTTTGAGTGTTTTCAAAATTTTCACAGAAAACACTCAAAAAGTCAAAAATGTGTTTTGAGTTTTATGCTATAAAATTATCCTTGTTTTCAAAAATATCACACCAAACACGTTTTTAGTATTTTGTAAAACTGCAAATTGAAAACAGCAAACCAAGCGCACCAGTTGTTCGAGAAGGAACAAATTTATTTACTTCAACCGTCTTTAAAAAATTGTAACTAGAAAAATATCTGAAGTTTCAAGTCATGGTGGCAGTGCAATATGAAACATAGCAATTGCATGAAACTGTTTTGACTCTGTTGGATCTGAGCATGTTTTCTGAAAAATTTCAAAAAACATAGTCTACATAAGTTTACTTTCTTCTGGACTAAATCTAGACCATAGAAGAACCATTATTTGTTTATTTTATTTTATTTTATTTATTTAATTATTTTTTTGTGGGGTGGGGGGAGTCCCAAAATCTTATGTGCTCGTTCGTATTCTTTATCGTCTATGATTTTTCATCCATAAGAATTTGAATTTTGCAAAAAAAAGTATTCACCAGAGCCAAATCTCCCCAGGCGGCCCAAATATGTGTAGATATAAGATCTTTACAGCGAATGTAGAAAATTATAGCCATTAATTTCTAGGAAAATATTTATATACCCAAAAATCCCCTCAATTTTTTTTAAAAAATCATTCATAAAGCAGCACAGAAATTAATTGAATATTACCTCTGCCAATATAAACTCATTTCCTCCAATCAGATCCAACTGCTGAACAAGAAAGAATGGAGTAGCTGAAACAACTTTATCAGGCCCTTCCGGCACTTGATAAAACATGTTTGTCATCATGCAAATAAGCTTGGACTGAACGATTTCTGCCCAAGAGTTTCTTCTGCTGATTCGTACGAGTACCTTAATAACCTGTGAGCAAAGTAAGAGTAGATGCAGTCAATATTGGATTAGTACAGAGATAGGAGTAGAAAACACAAAATAAAATTTATTGGTCATGCACATCAAAATTTATTGAATATTGAGGAATAAACATTTGTTAAATATGCTTTGATTGGCTTCACGAAGAGGAATTCCATCTCATTTCATGTTTGGGTGAGATGCTGAAAATCTGCCTATTTAACCACCAATGAAGCCATCATGTGCCAAACTTCCAGTACCATAGATGAATAGTAAACCACTTTAACCATTTTTATTCTTTCAGGTTATTGTTCCATTGGTTAAAACACAAAATTATCAATTGTCCATAAGTCCATAACAATCTGGAAACTCATTTCCACATTAAAAAATAAACTACCAGTGAGTCATTAACCATCCTTTTCTTTAATTAACGGAGACCTAGAAGTAGAATATTACACACAAATGGCATCCTCTCTTTGCATTTGGTAATTTGAAGGCTTTGAAAAGGAATAGTCCTTGCAGATTTCATCATCAGATAACCATACTTCATGAAATTTTAAGGCTCTCTAACCAGAAGCCAGGAAAACCATTCAAGCTTGCTTTTGCCAACTTATCTGCAACTAACTGTATGAATCCCTTTCATTCACCTAAGATATTCTGAAGGTGGGAGGAAGCCATTCTCTTTTGCTAGTCATTCTGTTCTCTTAACACTTTCCTTTCATATCAAAACATCCCATCCAGAATTTAGACAAGTTCTACGCAACATGTACCTAAGAGAGTTTTCCCCTTTTCACAATGCAGAATACTCTCACTTAATATTGTCGGTAGTACAATGATTCCAAAATTGAATTGCATATAAAACTTATTTGCCCACAGATGATAACAAAACAATGCGTCAAAAAATACTCACTCTAATATCAAGACCTTGTAATCTGCTTCTTCGAATGTTCCCTCTATCACAAACAAAATAGAGTAAACAACTTAGACCTGAAGCCCAGACAGATTCTTCCTTCTCTTCAATCTGAGAAATAAGCATGTATTAGTCAATGAAGATACATGAAATGTGCAGCACAACCTATAAATATGAATCAAACAAATGCAGACATTAGAAGTTTACTACAACCAATCAGATAAAATTCTAGATTAATATAGCAGCTATGTGGTATTATCTAGACCTCCGTTTTAACATGTGTACCATCATATCACACATACAGAGAGAGCACAAAATATGAAGCAATTGAGATGCTCGAACATGGACTTGAAAAATGAATAGAGTTGATACAAGGGCTTGGTTGTACGAGAAATGGAGGATTTACAAGAAATATTTATTGTCTATAAAAGAAAATGAATGTTGACTTGTTTGGTCCATTCTTGGAATCATAACCTAGGTAAATAGATAACACCAATTAAAAGAAAAAATGTGATGGTGTCATATTTGTCATTCACTACACAAATCCAATCAGTCTTTCATCTGTATATTCATAATCAACAACAGTTGAGCCTAAATCTAACTAGAGTTCTTCTATTTTGTTAAAAACCCAACAAATTTCATGTCTTCTCTACTTCAAATTTCAGTCTTTTATTTTATTATATGAAATTATGTGTCTTTTCGTTAATTAGTTTCAATTCCGTGAGATGCATATTGGTTATTTTATAGACTTGAGGCCGACATGAGTGTCATAGAAATTGTAATAAAAATATTCATTTTATTGAGAAAAAATGAGTATATATATCACACATACCTGAACAAGATGAAGAAGAACCTCATAGAGAATGCCCAATATCCAATTCTCAAACTTATCAGTAGCTGACGAATTCCCCATTTTCTTAAAATTGTCAGATTTTCTCTTTCCTTTTGAAGAAAGTTGAGTTTCATTTTCAAAATATGGTTCGTGCAAATACTCTTCTTCAATTGCAGAGGTGTCATCCGGTGCTGGAGGCTCCAATAAATGTGCGTGAACTCCGAGGTTCAAAATTAAATCAAAAGCTTGAGCCCTTGACATCACTTTTGGAGAATTTAGCATATCCTACAATAAGTTATGTGCAAAATAAGTAGCTATAACTACATGTTGCACAAAAACAAGTGCAAAGTATGCAGCACCTCGAGTATCGATAAAGTTAGAGGAGCAGCAGTCACAGAATCCAAAACATACCTACAAAATGGAATTAGAAAAGATCAGCTGGGAAAACAAGATACAGGCTTGTGTGCTAGCATTGACTGCAGTCAAGAAATAGCGTAATAGATGAAAAGCATAAATTGTTTTCCTTTACTTAGCAGAAGTCTAACTTTGGCTTATTATACGAGAGCATGGAGAAAATTTGAATCATATTACGCAGCAATGAACAATTAGAGACTTTAAACCAAGAAAGTTACTGAAGACCAGATGCGTCCTTTTGACGACAACATTGAAAGCAATTTGAACCACACACCCAGAAAGGGTCCAGAAAGGATCTAACTTCTGTATTGGATAATGATAGTGTCTCATTTCTATAATATCATACCATGCAGTGTCACTACTCAATCATAAATGGAGAAAGAAAAAGTTCAATGAAGTCCTATAGTATTAACAAAATGCATCAGAACATACATGTCAATTATAAGTTTGACAAGAACGCTCACAGCCACGTCGAGAGATGGCCTTCCATTGTTGCTTAACTTAGACGAGATTGTTGTGAGATTAGAATTTGTCGAAGGAGTTTCCGTGCACACTGCAACGATAACCTCACATATCTCCTCAGGATTCAATCGCAAGGGTTGTTGCTCACTGATGTACGCAAAATATTAAGTTAGAGAGAGAAAAATTAAAACCAACACATCCACAGATACATAAAAAGTTCAGAGTGCATGTATATGCCTATGAATGCAGTACATTAATAGATCTAAGCATTATCTTAAGAAAAAAATAGTTGCAAGTGTATCTACAGATATGTTTTTTCATACTATGGTTCTTTTAAATTCCAATTGCCGATTATAAAATGAAAATAGTTTGCAGTGGTTATAAATCATAATATATAGAAACAGTATCTAAATTAATGTGCAATTGTTATACATCCATATGAAATCTATATTATGCGAGATTCATATGGATGAAACATAGTTACCATTAGAAGTAATATCAAAACATAACCATCACTGTTATTCATCAATAAATTTGATTGAAGGAATCATGGTGGGTTTGGGGTTGTGTGGAAATAAGATGGAATATATGTAATGTCCTTTTTGTTAGAGTATTAATAAGGATGAATATGAAACTTAAGAAAAGGATCGCGGTGTCACAGAAGACGATTGTTTTAGATACTTATGCTCGATTATAAATAAAGAACGGAGATTTGAAGAGAATGAAATGCATAGGATAATTTTAAGAAAACTGAAAAGGGTGAAAACAGAAGTTATGCAGTCCAGGTTGTACAGCTATTAGGTTAACTACCTTCAATTGTAGCAAGTGTTAGGCTACCAAATGTTCTTAAGATGAATGTTGCAAAAGTGATGATCTTAAGAAGGATCTGCCGTGACACTAGGATGCATAAAAGAAAATAATTGAGGATACATTAAGGAGTAATGTAGATAATTGTGTCATATCTCGCTCAGATAAATAAATAAAAAATAAAATTAGAAAAAAATTGCATTCACAAGAAATAAAACCTTGTTAGATACATTTTGATGTAGTACATCACAACTACAATTAATAGTTCTACTTTATCTAGGAGTTTGTCTTTTTTGAAAGGCTTAAAACCCATGGCATAAGTCTGTCTCCCTAGAATATCCTAAGGTATTCTGAAGGTGCAAGGATGCCATTCTCTTTTGCAAGTGATTCTGTTCTCCGAACACTTCTCTTTCATATCAAAAGAGCCCATCCAGAATTTAGACAAGTTCTCTGCGAGACGCACTAAAAGAATTTTCCCCTTCTCTTTATCACAATGCTCTCTTAATATTGTGTCAGTACTAGTGTTCTAAAATTGGGGAACTAGGCGTGATGCGTGAAGGCCCCCCGCATCCCACATATGGAAATGGTGTGAAAAAGGCAGTCAACCCTATTTTGACCTCCTTTAATGTGGGCTTAGACGACATAAGATGTCACTAATGCAGGCCTAGGAGCCAAATGGAGCAACTAATACAAGCCCAGACACCAAAAGGCACGTGTTATTATTTTTTTTAAAATTTTTTTATTACTTTTATTTTTTAAGTTAAATAAACTAATTAAATAAAAAGAACTAATAGTAATAATCTTAGAATAATTAGAAATAATACTAAAAATAATGGAACACCTTATTACGCCCATGCTTCTCCTAAGAAAGCCTACACTCGTAAGGCTTGAAGCTAGACCCTGTTGTCTTATCATGCCTAAGGCCTTTTAGAACCTAGTCAGTAAATTAATTTGAAAATTGAATGGAATATAAAAGCTTATTTGCTCACAGATAATAGCAAAACAAGGCGTAGAAATACTCACTCTAATATCAAGACCTTGTAATCTGCTTCTTCGAATTTTCCCTCTATCACAAACAAAATAGAGTAAACAACTTAGGCCAGAAGCCCAGACAGATTCTTCTCTCTCTTCTATCTGAGAAATAAGCATGTATTAGATAATGATGATACATGAAAGGTGCAGCACAAACTATAAAAAAAATAAATCAATCAGATAAAAGTATAGATTTAAATGGACTCTTTGTAAGCAGGGATTTAGCAGCTAAGTATTATCTAGACATCCATTTTAACATTTGTACCATCATATCAAACATACAGAGAAAGCACAAAATCTGAAGCAATTGGGATGCTTAAAGCGTGGACTTGGAAAATATATGGAGTAGATACAAAGGCTTAATTGTAAGAGAAATGGAGGATTTACGAGAATTATTGATTCTCTATAAAAAAAAATGATTGTTGACTTGGTTGGTGCGTTCTTGGAAGCATAAGCATAAGTAAAAAGTCAACACCAATTAAAACAAAAATAAAATAAAATGTGATGGTGTCATATTTTTCATTCACTACTTAAAATCCAATCAGTCTTACACTAAATATTCATAATCAAAGTTGAGCCTAAATCTAACTATGTCTCTTTTATTTTGATAACTTCCTCGTTTCTCTTGTGCAGTTAACAAGATCAGCACCTAGATATTTCCTTAATTCAAACTCTCAATATGAAATTATATTTAAGTATACGTGTCTTTTTACTAATTAGTTTAATTCCATTAGATACATTTTGTTATTTTATAGACTCGACTCTAACATAAAATCCTGGAATTTTAGAGAAAAATATTCATTTAGTTGGGGAAAATTGAGTATTATTTTCTGTGTACAAGTTTATACTTCATAATCGCTGCCCCATGAAATTTTTTCTCTGTCAGCCAAAACACAACAATAAGCATTAAGTTTGTATGGATGCAGCCTTTCGTGTTTGATTCTAAAAAGTATACATAAATGAAACCCCCTCCTCCCTCCCAACAAAAAAAAAAATGGCAAAATCCAAATACAACAAGATGTGCCTAGTTATTGCAAAATCGTACCATGACATATATCCTTTATACCTGAACAAGATGAAGAAGAACCTCATAGAGAATGCCCAAAATCCAATTCTCAAACTTATCAATAGCTGAAAAATTCCCTATTTTCTTAAAATTGTCAGATTTTCTCTTTCCTTGAGAAGAAATTCGAGTTTCATTTTCAAAATATGCTTCGTGCAAATACTCTTCTTCAATTGCAGAGGTGTCATCAGGTGCTGGAGGCTCCAATAAATGTGCATGAACCCCAAGGTTCAAAATTAAATCAAAAGCTTGGGCCCTTGACATCACTTTTGGAGAATTTAGCATATCCTACAATAAGTTATGAGCATAATAAGTAGCTTTAACTACATGTTGCATGAAAACAAGTGCAAAGTATGCAGCACCTCAAGTATCGATAAAATGAGAGGAGCAGCAGTCTCAGAATCCAAAACATACCTACAAAATGGAATTAGAAATTATCAGCTGAGAAAGCATGATACAGGTGCGCGTTAGCAGTGACTGCAGTCAATAAATAGTGTAATAGATGAAGAGCAAAAGTTTGCTTTCCTTTACTTAGCAAAAGTCAAACTTTGGCTTATTATACCGGAGCATGGAGAGTATTCGTGGCCATGAACAACTAGACTTTAAACCAAGAAAGTTATTCGAAGACCAGTTCCGTCCTTTAGACGAAAACATTGGATGCAATTTGAACCAGACACCCAAAAGGGTCCTGAAAAGATCTAACTGCCGGCTACTCTGTATTGGATAATGATAATGCGTCCCTTTTATAAATATTATACAATGCACAGTCACTACTCATTGATAAAAAAAAAGAGAGAAAAAGTTCAATGAAGAGTCCTGATGTATAAAGAAAAATGCATCAGAACATACATGTCAATTATAAGTTTGACAAGAACGCTCACAGCCACGTCAAGGGATGGCCTTCCGTTGTTGCTTAACTTAGATGAGATTGTCATGAGATTAGAATTTGAGGAGGGAGTTTCTGTGCACACTGCAGCGATAACCTCACATATCTCCACAGGATTCAATCGCAAGGGTTGTTGCTCACTGATGGGTACAAAATATTAAGTGAGAGAGGTAGAAATTCAAAACAACACATCCACAAACATACAAAGTCCACCATGTATGAGCAGAACATTACATAAGCATCTTCTCAGGAAAAATAGTTGCCAGTGTGTTCTACAGATATGTTTTTCATACTTTTGGTCATATAAATTCCAATTGCTGACTATAAAAAGAAAACAGTTGTGCATGTGTTATAAAGCATAATATATGTAACAGCATCTGGATGAATGCAAAATTGTTAAATGTCCATCCATATGAAATCTAGCACAATATAGATGAAATATAGTTATCACTAAAGTAATGTCAATACCATAAACCATCACTGTTATTTGTCAATAAATTATATTGAAGGAACCATGGTGGGTTTTGGGTTATGCGGAAATATGATGGAATACATGAAATGTCCTTTTTCTTACAGTATTAATAAGGATGAAGGAGAAACATTAATAAAGGATCATGGTGTCACATAAGACAATTGTTTTAGATACTTATAATTGATTATAAATAAAGAACGAAGATTTGAAGAGAATGAAATGCATGGGATTAAAATTTCAAGAAAATAAAAAGGATGAAAACATAAGTTATATACTCCAGGTTGTACAGCTATTAAGCTAACTATCTTCGTTTGTATTAAGTGTTGAGCTACCAAATGTTCATAAGATGTATGTTGCAAAAGTGATGACCTCAAGAAGGATGTGCTGTGACACTAGAATGCATAAAAGAAATGACAATATGAACCAACAAGTGGAGGTAACACCAATTGACGATAAATTAAGGAATAATTTATATTACTGTTGCATACCTAGATTAGACAAAAAAATATTGGATTCAGAAGAACAACACAGCCCTGTTAGAAAGAGGGAGAGAGACTAAAATTGTCACGCCTTGAGACGGTTACGAAAGATTTCATTTCATTGGACGTATCACAAAAGGTAACTGTGATCAAACAGAACAACAGAAAAAGATTCATGAAGCTGACCCCCAGTATTGGGAAAACCAGAGCTTCTCGTTTTTATTGTTGTTGCATCGTGGAAGACAAAATACAAAATACAGAATGTAATAATGCCAAGTTTGCACACAAACGCACGCACACAAAAGTGTCAAGAGTCATTCACAAACAGTTGATAACAGCAAGCTCTTATTGTCAAGATGGTCAATGACACCTGAAAACACCTATTATTTACCTGTAATGACGATATTGGAACAGTGGTTTCACGCGGGGGCGAAAGTTGCTCAAAGGAGGATCTTCCCTGTGAAATAAGAAAGGACGATCCTCGGATCAATATTGAAGTCTCGGAAAATTCAAGTCTCATATATGTTGCAAAACTATGACATGGTTGAACAAGACCTTCCACTATTCAACTTTAGGACCATGTGACAGATGAATATGCAGTCCCATCATTTGGAAACATGATGATTATGTTGTTGATAATAGAACATAAAATGAAAAATTACATAAACAGACACCTGCAGTATGAAATAAAGCACCAAAATTTTCAATTGTTCTCTCCATTTGTGAATGCAAAATTAGAAGTACTGGATGTTGATTAGATCACCAATACCAAATCAGCGGGTCATAATTTGAATAAACAGAAATCTATGTTTGCATGCCTACACCATTCATCAAAAACCAAAAGTTTCGCTTTAAACCAACATATAGTAAGTATCTGGTATATCATTACACTAGATTCTAGCGGTTCTTCAGAATATTCATTTTTTAAACTTCTTATTAAACCTTCCAATTAAGTTACCTTGTACCAGGTGTATTGTGGGGGTGAAAAGATGAAGAAAACTAAAAAAGCTGCATGCAACATTTTTTTCTAACAGTTCAAGCTAAATGATATAAACCTCTGCCAAACACCCAAAGAAGAAAAAACTTAAACAGGAAGAGTGGGAGTGGGAGTGGGGGGGGGGAATAAAAAGAACTTGAATGTCAAATGGAGCGAGAATTGTTTAAATTATGTAATTTTTCACTATTCATTTAGCCCTTAAGGAAGGCTTACCAAAATCATAACTAGACTCTGCAATTAAAATAAATTCAGTAATAAAATTCAAAATTTTAATTGGGAAACATACACTCAACGGTGTATAAGACATAAACTTCCATTTATGTGGTGTTGTACAATTATGCTAGCATGTACATGTGTGACGTTTATGAGTTTGAGAAAACCCCCGAGAGTAATTATATAATCAATCAACCATATGACCTTGAATATAATGCCAAAAGGAATAAATTGATTTCAGTCCAGGAGAATCTCAAATGATTCTTGAATTTTGAACATCATTAGTATCCCAATCACATATTTTCTATCTGCAACGTTGGTAAATCTCAGACCAAAATTTCCGAAACTTAAATTATACTTTAAGAAATAAAATCCAATGAGGTTACAGCAATGTTTGGATTTTCCACCAAACCTCTGTTAGATTCAGTACTAGATCCAAGACATAATAAGAATAGAACACTGCTTGTTTTGCGAAGGTGGATTAGATTGGATGGCACAATATTAAGGAACCAAAAGAAACAAAGTTTTTGTTCATTGCAGTGTGCAGGCCTGTCTAGCACAGTATACCAAAAAATGTATTAGGCACCCTTCAAGTTGTTGTCATAGTTTAATTGTTAGGTTGTTAAGGGATTAGGGTCTTAGGGTAGACTGCTAAATAAGTGCCGCAACAACTCGTTATAAATAGTGGGAGGGAGTTCTATTTTCATTTAGGCAGAAATTAGAGTGAGAAGGGGGGAGTGGCAGCATCTCAAAAGCTGGCCATTTTCCTGTAACTGCTTCCATTCAGTATAACGGTTTCATAGTTTACATTGAATAGTATTCCATTACATTTACAGCAATATGTCACACTTGATTCCATTTTTTTCCCACACAAACATATACAAGAACAACAGAATCGCATTAACATGCATGGAGACTTATCAATATCTTCATCCAACTAAAAAACAGTTTTTTAAGTCACATAGTTACAGCTTCTAAATCTATTGCACATCAGAACTGATTGACTGACATGAGGTTATATAGGTTCAAACCTATTAAGCATGAGATACATCCAACAAAGTAGAAATCGTATTTTCTTTGCATGAGTAAGTTGTTCATATTTTGATTTTCTGACAAAAAAATTCACACTCCTGATTACAAGTTAGAACATCATTTCGCGCAAACAAATCATAAAGGGAAACAAATGCCATGCAGTTCACAGGCACCAGAGAATATAACCATAGATATAAGATGTCCTAGCACAAACAAAGACAGGAAAACCACAAACTGGTGTTAAAATAATTAAGCAAGAAGAATGTACCAAATTTCATTGGGCCCTGTTTTAGACCGTTTAAGTGCTGTTATTGCTCTTAAATGGGCATGAGCGGAAGCAGAATTGGTAACAGTCGTGAGCAATGATGGCTGCAACAGCTGATCGAGATAAGGCATATCTGGACTTCCAAAAAATTTCCAAGGGTCACCCTTCATTTTGGGGTCCATATCCCCTACAAGAAGAGCTGCAGCACCTACTTCTAGGAAATTATGAGTTCGTACATCTTGGGGATTCAGATTGTGCTCGCTGTAAGTGGGCATTTTTAGAATGTATAGAAACGCGAATAACAGAAGATTTTTAACAGACGAAATAATACCTTTTGGGCAAGAGAACTGACAATTGCTGGTCACCAAACCAGCGCCATCTGAAAAGATCAAGAGCTATGAAATCTTGATCTTCCGTTTCATCAACTTCTTCAGCAACGGGGGAGTCTGAAACAGATGTAATAGATGTCTCTTTGCTCTCCATAGCATCCTTACTATTTGCAGGGCATAATTGTGAATTGAACGATCTGCTTAATATAGATGACAATGCTGGAAGTGATTGCCTTGATGCAGGAGGGGCTCCAGCAAAAACTGCTGATTGAAACGACCGCTTTGGTATATACTGAGCCACTAGAGAACGAACATAATTTAAGGATTTGACAAGTGCTCCTGATGCAAAACTTGATACGGGCAAAAGAGATATATTTGTAGAGGGTATTGGCATCCCAGATTGTTGACTCAAAGAACGCGACCATGGAGCCAATTTACGGTTAATGCTCACATCACACTCAGCAATTATGCTTACACAAAATCGATCAAGCTGTAGCAAAGTCTCCTCACTGGGTTTATATCTGAAAATATAAAAGGACTTGAAGATGAGATCGTTAACCAAACTAACTTCAAGAGTGTAAAAGTTGAACTTTTTTGGAGTCCATAAGCAGTGGTAACTCTTCTTGAGACATTTCCCTGCCTAAGATTGAACATTTTTCTAGAGCCCAAAGCATTACATGAGACTTTCTAGAAAGCTCCCTTTAATATTGGTCTAGACATGGAAAATCTCTCCTTCCAATTAGCCCATGTTATCCTTTATTCTGTTGATAAGAAGATAAGTACATGCAGCAGTTTTTTTTCATAAAAAAATCTTTTTTTCAGAAAGAAATTGAAGATATTATGAATCAGTAAAGAGTGACTATATCGAATGGCTTTACTAATCCTCAAAACTCGATAGATTAATAACCAATATAGTAATAATAATAATAATATATATATATATATATATATATA